TTACTATAATTTGCATAACAAAGCGTCACTATTTATAAATAATTTATCTAATGAGATGGAAATTAAATCTATTACTTTTTTCAAATGTTCTCGCTTATACAACAATCAGCTATTATTGGAAGGAAGCTTTCCTCTTTGTTTGTTAACATATCAATCGAAATGTCCAAATTATTAACCCAATGCTGTTCCATTTGATGCGGATAATTAAATGACAGTTTTTTAAAGGTGGATTGAATATAATTCCCATTCACGTGGTTTTGTCTTCCTTTTCATAAGAAAAAAGTACATATACGACCAATAATCTATTTAATGAGGATATCCAAAATATTAATTTAATATATGTAACATGAAAAGACATACGAAAAAAGAAGAAATATGTTATTTTTATTAAATTACTATTTGTGTAATAATAATTAATTTTAAGACCTGAAGTTTAAAATTTCATACATCTTAGCATAACGTTGATCATTGAGTTAACCTTATTATATTAGCGTAAACAAAATCAGCAGTATATGATCATGTGAACTGTGTCATGTAATGTTCTATAAACCCTCTAAAAACATTTTATTGTTCTATTTTTTTTAATAAGAATGAGTGTTTTTATGACACGAAATAAATAAAGATATGAAATTATTTTGAACGAATTTTCTCGATATATTTGATTCAAGATAATAAAACTATTTTTTTTTTGATTGTGTCAAAACCGATCAACTGAATATTTTTTAAATAATTACTATAATGTTTGACTCTATGCCTTAAATTGCTACTAATAAATTAAGAATTGAATTCAAAAAAAAAATATGTATATATATCCAAAATTATAATAATAATAATAACCCTAACTTTACATTTGATCTGTTAACTATCTTCCGAATTTAACGAAAAATTTTTTTGATTAATAAATGAAACTGAAAAAATAAAATCTTCTTTATGATGACTAGTGCTCCGTACGGGTCGGGTTGGGTCTGGTTTGAGGGGATGTTCGAACTCGACTCGAATTTTCGGTTCGGTCAACTATGTAACCCGAACTTGACTCGACCCGACTGTAATTTAACTCGAATAACCCGGGTTGAACCGAATTTATATGAATTTTATTATGTTCGGCAAAACAATAGTAAAATTAATTGACAAGTTACACTCTAATAATGTTTTTTTCTTTATTCAATTAAAATTGACCAATCTAAATCACTTTCATGTCCACCAAGATTTCAAACACATACACGCACGAATAGTATGTGTTTTAAGGCTGCTTCTTTTTGTTGCTACTAAACGGACAGTTAAGACACCTAACTTCACGGTGTGTTTTATGCTCTGATGGAAGGTCTTTCTCCTCAAAGAGATTATTAATAAAGAGCTCACTACGCAAACTTTTTCGTTTCCAAGTTGAGATACTGGTTCAATAAGGTCAATAGTTTCGGGCATATTTATATTTTCACATATATAAGCTACAAACAAAGCTAAAATTTAGCGCGTAAAAAAAACTCGCATCATCATAACGTCATCTCGGGTCACCCGGGTTGTTCTGGGTCAAAGCAACAGTACGACCCTAACCCGACGGGTCGGGTCATACGGGTCACGGGTCATCAAAATTACCAATCCTGACTCGATTTAAAATCCGGGTCTGGTCGATCACCCGGGTCTGACCCGACCCTTTCGGAGCACTAATGATGACCTACCGTAATTAATAGTATCAATACGTTTGATACTGAGTATAAAATTTCGGACTGGCATTTCTGATCGAGATTACCCTGACTCAACACCATCGAATCTTGGTGACGTAAACCAAAGATTATAACAAAATTTAAAAAAAAATTTTGTCTCAATGGCTTGTATCTATCGCGGAAAGCCGAGAAAACGTCTTGGTCAATTTATAACGCCTCTATTGATTACCTACACAACGAAACTTACCCTGACATCTCACAATCTTTCATCCAGAATGTTAATTGAATCACTCAACCGAGAATTGTCTCATTAATTGTAGGAAGCCTTCTACAAGTTAACGTTCACCCACGCCAGACAAAATCCTATTTGTACCCTTAAACAAGAGAAAGAAAGTTACTTATCTTGCCTGCTCCCTAGGACGACCTCTAACACAAACTTTAACGGTTTAACAGGAATCATGGGTTATTCTCGTAACATTCGAGCGCATGCCTTATACTCTGAAACCTTTGGCGCATCAAAGGTGAAGATATCGATCAAACAACCAATATTCAAACTCCCTCCCTCTTGGTTGACAAAAACAATTCCTTTCGCTAACATGATATTGTACTATGAACGACATTAACAACATAACTGACACTGGCGCTGGCATTAGCGCTGACATTGGCACTGGCACTGGCATTAGTGCTGGTATTGGCGCTGACATTGGCACTGGCATTGGTGGTGGTGCTTTTCCAAGTCGAGTCTGTGAACACTCAAGAATTGTTGAAGTGTAATATTCATACCATGTTCCTAAAACAAGTCGAGCCAACATAAAAATGTCTGAAAGGCTGTATCTACTTTGGATGGAGATGACGAATAGGCTTTATGCAAGTGTCTTGAATCAGTCCAATGAAAATAAAGGCACCCGAACGGAACGTACATCTGATGAACTACGATCCAAGATGAAGGTTCCACCATATTGGGCATCGTTGTCCTATTTACAGCTCGAAAAATTGTGGCACTATCAAACACTCAAAAAGGTCAAAATATGAAAGGACCTTCAAGATATAACATCGACACGATATTTTCCAAAAATAAAAAATCTTTTCTTCATATGAGTATTTTCTATGTAGTAATTTCCTTTAGAGTCGAGTGTCAGAATTTAATTAATCTCTAATGAATTTATTTTCAAGATCAATAATATTTTTGGACGTTTGGTAAAGTTTTGTATCTCGACATATAATTCATTGTTTAATTATTTCGGCTTGGCTACCTTGAATCCACAACGGATGACCTTCAACGTTGCAGATCAATAACAACCGAATCAAATGTCAATGTCAAACTCTTTCAAGAGTCATAATTAAAAGAACTTTCAAAGGTGGCTTCATTAGTTTCTTTAAGTACTAATTCAGGAACAAATCACTATGTCGTCTTCATAATTTGGAAGTCAAGCAACAAAGAACGGCATGTTCACATGTTTGAACGCATCTCTCAATCCTGTTTCAAATTAACTCTTATAAGCAGATATGACCTAAAATATGGAATCAATTTAAATAAAGTGTAACGAACTTTTCCAATCTATTTCATTAATATAAAAATAAATATCGTACCATTCTAACAGCTTAAGAAGTGCCCAAATCATAATTTTTATGACCTGATGCATCTATCGACGCTTATCTGTTTCAAATAAATTCTACCGATTCCCTGTAAAAAAAAAATGATAAATGACAATTGGAAATAATAATAAAAGAATACGATAAATATATTGAATATAAGTAAAATAAATACCTTTACACGTTATTCCTTATAGTATCAAGCGCCATAATAAATACCATGCCCGTCTTTGTTCTTTAGCTTCATTTTCGTATTTATCTGATCAAACCGATGGTGTGAATTCCAGGGTTACTCTCAGTGGTTTAATAATAACAGTTATGATGATGATTGTTCGAGAAAGAAAAAAAAAGTATTACCATTGCTGTCATAAAAATGTAAATTAGTATATACAGAAATAAATTGATAACCGTTTCTTTGAATGATACTCACAAGAAATTACCGCATATAGTGCATCTAATTACAAATCGAAATAATAATCGTAAACATGCCTTCGGATATAACGATGCAGAGCAACAGATGGAATTTAAATAACCTACATGTCCGATAAATACTAAGTAAAATGTTTTTTTCCATAAAATTCCAGACTCTGCCTCTTTCGAATTCCCTTTAGTAGTTTCGCTTATATCTCTTCGAGCATGAATAATGATCTAGACGAATTCGTACACGTCTTAGAAAATTTTTTCCAAGTTTCAAAATGCTAAAATTTTTCTTTGAAGCCGCGAAAAATTAGAACTTTTGACGCTATTACAGCACACTACTGCTTGACAACAGCGTTGGTCGCATTGTGAAAGACACAAAGATTTTTTGCTGTTCAATTAGTAGAGCAGCATCTGAATTTCAGCTAAAATACGTAAAACATTTGCTGTAAGTTTTTGGAGGGTTGGAATGCCTGAGACGGAAATATACGTCATGGGCATTACTAATGATCGCTGCTATATGTGCCGACCTTTACGAACGGTTGAAATGACTTCCAAGAATAATAATAAACAGTATAAATATTAACTGAGCAAGCATTAAACGCGTCATTTAATTTAAAAGATCTTGCCATGTTCTGATTTTGGTAATTGACCACTTTTTCTATTTCTATGTACAGTTAGTTTACTTTCTCAATTCAAAAATAAATTTGAAAAAAAAAACTCTACAAATCCGCTTAATATTTTTTCTGATTTAATTTGATGTTATAAAGAAATTTTATCTCGGCTCGAATAGATAAAAAAAAGGTAATTATGCTTTATTTAATAAAATTGTGTTTTTTATTATTTCATTGAATAAAAATAATTAATAATGTAGATGAAACCGTTATTAAAGATATTATATTTTTCTTGGAGTGGACAATTTTCACATTGTTGGATGCTTCGCTTTAACTGAGCTAGGCGGTGGAATGGAAGCTACTGCTATATATGATGATGATGATGATGACAGAGTTTATCATTAATACACCGACATTGTTAGTTCAAAATATTGGATCACAAACCTAAGTTTTTCAAAATGTTCAATTTTTTTTTCAATTTTTAAAAATGAATAGGTTATTTATAATTAATTTAACTCCTATTTAAATATTTCTTGGACTAGTCAGTTATTTATGCAAAATGAGTTGTTGTGGCTAAGAATGATGAAAGAATACGATTCTTGTCAGAAGTCTTGTCAAAAATTCGCGAGAAAACGTAATTTCATGTTTCTAAGCATTTATTTTGGTATTTCTACATTTCCGATTGATCTTATTATTTATTTATAGTATGAAACCTTCAGAAGGCTTCATAATTGAAGAAATGGAGTAATAATCGTATGTGTATTTCTACCATGCGAATTTAGGGCAAATTGTAAGTTTTCTTACGTCGCGTTATAACTTACGGGGAGTTTCTTCAACTAAAACATCATCATCAGGCGATACATAATCTTTTAACATATCTTTATGACAATGGCGATAATCGTCGTGGGTACGTAATTTATGATTATCATATCTATATATGTTATTTTAAACGATTTTTTGAAAGTCGCGGATTAACTTTTTCTGCATCTGTATATTGGGAACATTGTAGTGGATAAGCATCAATAGGTTTAGAAGCTTATTGATCATGAGATTAGTAAATCATATGATCCATAATGTGATTTTACTGGCAACGCACCCTTACTCAAATTTATGCAAATCTTGCGATTGTTGTGACGGTTCAACTATTAATTCGAGAGATCATTAAAGAAGTTTCTCCCTATCGCATGAAACTTGTTGATGCTTTAGAGTTGATCCACGTATATTTTATGCATCAATTGCGAAAGATTTGGCAAAGTATAACGAAACCGATAATCAAAGGTATGAATATTTTATTTTATTATGATTTCAAGATCTTAATTTTTTTTAACTACCTAGGTGAAATCAGTAAAGGATATCTCGGTCAGAATAAAGGCCAAATTATGATCATCAATAATTAGAAATATTGACCATTTATTAATTTCTAAGTTCTTACTTTATAATTAATAAAAATTTTAATTGAAGATAAATGATCAAGAAACTACCTTATAATTAACTTACTATAAATGCACGCATTGTGAATTTCCTTCCAAAATTAAATCCCAATCTAATTCATTCATCTTCCAACTGTTCTAGAAACAACCTTTTATAAATAAACTATATACAATTCTTCTTTAAAATGTAAAATAAATCCTAACTATATACAAATTCTACACCAAAATGTAAAATAACCCTTATCTATTCAACCCAACTATTTGGGATAATGGTAAAAGAACAATTCCCTCCTCTTAAGCGAGTTGGCGACCATTTTTACTGTTGAGAAGATTTTGGAAATAGTCACATCATAATTATAACCTACGGGTGAGTTTCCAATTCCACTTCCGAAAATTATTAAATTCTCGAGACGATTCTGATTGCGAATTAGTGATACAAATGATTGTTGAATGGCCAGTTTATGCAAATTATCTTAAAAGGTAATTAATGTAATTTAATTTTAAAAAAGGCCTCAAACAACATTTAAAAAATATTGATTTTTTCTATCATAAATCACAGGTAAATAAACGCGTGTTGTTCATTTATTTATTAAATTAAACTTGGATAAATGATGCCAAAAAAAAAAAGAATATTTGGAGAAGGTAGCTATCAGTCTGTTTAGAGCGTGAATAAAGAGAAATGTCACTACAATGTTAGAGCATTCATATTAATGATATAATAATTTCAAGCAATAATTTAAAACCCACCAAATCATTTCTCCATTTTTCATCTCTTATTAAGAAGAGAACGAGTAGAACCAATTGGTTTTTGATATCCCGCCGTAAGTTACTCTTCATTCTCTTGGAACCCTTTTTTTTTGTCTTTCTCGTTTTCCTTACGCGTATTTACGAGGCCGGCTTCTTTTCCAAAAAACTTGGACGTTTAATTTTAGTTATTGAAGTATACATGTAAATCTAAAAAACGTTCTAATGTTGATTTCTCGTGTGTCAATAATTTCATTAAAATACAGCTAAAATGCTTTTTTTTTCTTGACATTTATTTCCCTTTTCTTTTTTTTTTAAAAAAAAAAAAAAGAATAATAATAAAATATTTAAAATAATGTAACGCGACAAAATTAGAAATGATCGGTATCAGCCAGCAAAATCAAGGCTGGTACTTTGAACCCTACCCAATGCAGGCCTCTAAGTCAGAGGATTATTTTCTCCTAAAGTTTTATATTAACTATATCATCAATGTATACCAGCATTAGTAGGGATGGTAACGGTCGGTCGTCTCATGAACGATTTGTCTAATTGTTGTTGCTAAATGTTTATCAGAACTTTTCCAATTTGCTCGAACCCTCCAATTTCTCGAAGATCGCTAAAATATCGATAATCGTAATATTTAATATGCTAGTTACAAATATCTCCTTTAATACAATTAACCCACTCATTAAAAAAAAATCGTGTTATTATTTATGATTTCTCATTCAACTTTTTAATGTGCTACATCCCCGATTAAAATATCCGACCTTGTCGATCTTGGCGACGGAGATGAAGTATTGAAGACTTTCTTCATCCTAAACAACCATTTATGGTATAATTACAAACTAGGAAAGGGAACCGTTGTGGGTCGGGTCCGGACAATTGAAAATTAAAAGCAAACTACAGTCACTCTGCAACTGGTAGGACGCCTAAATTATCAGAAAGAGATATCAAACTTCTTGTAAAAATTGTTTAAAGTAGATCACCAATAAACAACACAATAACTTGTATAGTCCTAGTTTTATAAAGCTACGTATTGACGAACACGGTTAATCTTGT